AAGGAGACCGGTCAGTGTAAGACATGAAAAAAGAAATTTCATAAATTATCAAGAGTTCATGAGAGAGGGAGGGTTAGGGAGGGAGGTTAAAAAATGAGCTGCTAACAAGGGCTCAAGTAGAAAGAAAATGTTTTGAAAATGATGATGGCAACAAATGTACAGATATGCTTGGCACAATGGATGTATTGTGATAAGAGCTGTAGGAACTCCCAATAAAAGGATTTTTTTAAGTGCTCTAAAATGGTTTACATTGGCCTTAGTGAGAAGGAGTTTTGCAAAGGGACATGTGGGGGTGGGCTGACAGGGTGGGTAGGGACCATGGGACAGAAGGACAGTCTTTAAAAAGGGGAGGAGCTGGAATGTTTGAGGACAGCCTTGCTGGGGTTCAGGCAAATGGGAATGAATCTGGACTAGGGGAGACTAGGTCGTGATCTTAGTTCCTGTGTACCATTCTTGAGACGCTGGGGTGGGAGGTGGGGTTCTTGGGAGAACTCATTTTATTAAGTCAGCATGGACTTGGTAGCAGTGAGTTTGTTGGTTGGTTTGCTGGAATTGCAGTGGGAATGGAGAGGAGAGGCAGCGAAGAGGCTGTGGAAGAGACTGGGGTGAGAGAGGGTCAGTGGCAGAGAGAATGGAGGGGGAGGCCTGCTCTAGAGAAAGATGGAGGAGGAAGGGAGATCCAGCCAGAAGGTGGGGAGGGACTGACTTAATTGCCAGTGAAATGACAAATCTCTTGGGCACAGTTTGAGCAAAGGGTGCAGGGTCGTACAATCAGGGGTCTGTGCTGCTGAGGTCTTGGCTATCTCAGGAGGGATGGAGAGAAGTCGGAGTGCCCAGGTTGTGTGTGACAGCTGCAATTAGTGGGACCTGGGAACACCTGCGCTTGTTCAACTCTTTCATGGGTGCCAATCCAGTCTGCCCTTTTAGCAAACCTGTGATGCCAGCTGCTGTGGGGGAAGAAGCAGAGGAACAGAGAGGTTCAGTGAATCTTGGGGGAAGTAGGTAGGCAGAGAGAAACTCATTTAGAAGTAGCCATTGAGCCATGCACCGAGATAGCTTTCCAAGCAGAGAGATCAGCATGTGATGAGGTCCTAAGGCTGGGAAGAGCTTGGTGTTCTTAAGACACCGAGGAAAAGGGACACTGGAAACTGGGGTACACACAGGCTGGGAGGCAGGAGTGGATATGGTGTTTTTCTGG